TTAATTACTTACTGCTCATAATACATATTATATACAGGCTCTGCCAGGGAGAAAGGCTTTCGAGAGGGAGATAAAGAAGGAGAGAATCGGGGACGACGACCACACGCGCGAAAGAGCCCGCGCACGAACATAACGAACCCTCGATCGCGGGGAACGAAAAATCGTCCTTGTTGCTCCTTTCGCACCCTTGATTATTTCCCCCCTCTCCCATTTGCATCTAATCTCGCGTTGGAGGATTAATCGTTGATTCGACAACTCGGAAAAATCAGGGAGGAACCCCGAGAGGAGAAAAAGAAGCCGCACAAAGTCAGAGGATGCAGGGCAGACGGTGCAACAGCAGCGCAGTGGTACGAGGCATCAGCAGCCACAGCAGCTGGCGGAAGTGCCGAGCTCGCTGGCTGCTGTTGGAGAGCCGTTGCGGGAACGACGGGTGAGCGCAGCGAAGAGGACGAAGCACATACAGCGACGAGAGAGATCAGAAAGCGCGGAACGAGGAGTTGGAAAAAGGGAGAACAGAAGGAACATATACTACATTATTATTATTATTATTATGTTTGTTTGTTTGTGTACGCATTGTTCGTACCCTGTGTTGTTCTCGTACGGAGGCGAAGCTTTTAATTCACCTTTTTCGGCTCACTGTTTTCAAAAGCTCGTGAACGAAATCATCGAGGACAATCGGCGCACTACGGCACGTACTTGTCTACCTGTGTAACTCGAGCCAGTGCTGTGGATTTATCGACGTGTAGCGCCTGCTGTGCCGTACCGTGCGACTGACAGTATACACCGGTGCTGTACGAGTGAAAAATAATTTCTCCTACGCTACCAACTATCCATAACTCGGCATCTAAATCGAGTGATTGATTACCCATTCGCGAGCCGAGGCCCAACGCACACGTACGATGGATTAGAGAGGAGGTACCTGCGGCTGAGGACGGTATTTTTCCACTCGAAGGCGAGCAAGACTTTCGTTTTTGAAAGTAAAGTGTCCGAAAATCGTGGCAGGACCGGTGCGATGATTCGGAAGAAAAACATCGGCACCGCAACGTAGTGCGCGACGATCGGCTGTTGTATTGTTTTGTTGCAGCGTGTCGCGGAATCTATGTGTATCGGGGCGCGATTGGCGAACAACCGAAGTAAAAGAGAGAACGAGAGAGACTCTGGACGATAAATCGTGGGCTTATTCTTTCCTTTGCATACCTACACTCGCTCGGTCTTTTCGATACGCGTATCGGATGAGGCCGAAGAGAAGAGGAGGAGAAGAATCGCGTGTGCGTATGGTGGTGTGCCGTTCGTACGCTTTGGAGATGAGAGGAATTCGTCTCCGGCGCAATGATGTCACTGACGGATATGTGTGTACGTATTATATTCGTCGCTACTTAACATAAACACGTATATACTCAGCGATGATTTTTCAACCCAACTTGTTCGTTATGGCCTTACGATTCGAGGAATTGTTTTTGTTCGCACGACGATTCTGTTGTGCTGATAGTGCTAAAAAATATCTGTTGGTCCTTTTTTTTTTTTTTTTTTTTTTTTTTTTTTTTTTGTTTATTTGTTATTCCACACAGATGTACTCATGCAATTATACTATGTGATTTAAAATCATTTCATAAAGTGTATTTACGGATCGATTCGCCGACAATAAATTCATCGAATCACAGTACGAGGATTATTTTTATTTACGTAAGAGATAGTACGCGCTTTACGCTGGTATGTATAATATGTGCTCGTACGGCACGAATGGTTACACAATACATGTAAATTTTCCAACAGCTTATTAATTCCATTTATTTCGGAGCCTGCGCTCAATGGCCTTTCGTTCGGTGTACGAAACATAAATACATGATACCCGCACACTCAACAGAATCTGTGTACACACATCAAGTTTCGGCTTTTATCTCTTGATCTTACCCATTTCTGTAAAAAAGATAGATCCATCTCCCGAAAAACTGCACTCAAAGTCAATAGATCTCGCATCTGTTAATCAATTAATAATCACTGCTAACTGATAGATACAGATAAAACAAAGAGTATCCGTTATTAATGACACCGAACAACACCCGAGCACGATCAAACTACTATTTTTTATAGTACCGATCGAAACATAAATCCAGAGCGAATCGTACTCCACGCTTCGTCCCATTTGTAGAGCCGATTACAAATTCATTGTAGCGACACACGAGGCACTACTATACCGCCCGTCCTTGTTTTTTTTTTTCCACCCCGCCTTTCACCCCGAAAAAATCTTCTTTTTTCCGTCGAAAACAGTACACGTACGTCGACCGATGAAAAGAGAGGTAGGAAGAAAAAAAAGAAGAAGCAAAGACGCGCCAAAGCCCGCCTGTCCCCAATCCCGATTCAACCGCAGTGTAAGTCCATGCATCAGAGCCGTCTCAACTCAGCTCTGGACTGTGAACGAAAAGAAAAAAAAATCAATCATCAGTTTCGCATAACCGATCTACCATCACCATCATGTTATTATTCAGCGTTATATTGTTTACACAAGGGTGAAAAACTAAAAAAAATTTAAAAAAAAAAACAAAAAAGAGCGAGGCAGATAGATAGGTAGATAGATAGACGGAAGAGCGGCGAGGCGGGCCGAGAGAGGGAGAGTATACGCCGCGGTGTACCAAGTGTATACGCGCGCGAGGGCTTATTGATCCCTCCCCCCGGTCCCTCTCTTTCTGATTCCTCGTCTCCCACCCTCTTCCTCTCTATCTACTACCGTGTAGGTATATATACACATACACACGCGTATATAGGTACGTAGTATTTTAAAGCGTAGAGCAGACACACGTCTCTTACATCCATATGTATATGTATATGTATATATATATATGTATGTGTACACGCGTAATAAGAGGGTAGTCGGAGGGTGTTAATGGAGGTGGCTGATGCTTCGCGAATAAATCGGGAGACAAAGACAGTACGGGCGAGGTATGGGCGCCACGCAGGACGTCCAAGAGAGGAGGATGTTTGTTTACTTGGGCGAGCGCGTTAAACCGATTGCACGCGACCCTTAGGTAGGCATACCTCTTTCTGGTGTGCTTGTGCGTGCAACGAGTCAGATATATGTAGCTTAGTCTCGTTAAGTGTAAGAGAGATATTATATACACTGGCAGAGCCTGTATATCTCTCTGCGTGTGCCCGTGTACCGAACCCGGCCGCTATTCCCTTTTCCGTGTCTTCGTGTCCGTATCAGCCCCCAAAAGCCACCAGCGGGGGATATAATAGACCCTCTTTCTCCCTTGCGATGTTTCCCTGAGCCCGTTTCGGGGGGAGGGGGGGGGGCAGTGGTAGTCGCGCGCGGGAGTACGTGTTTCGTTTTCGTTAGGCCTCTCTGCTCTCTCTACGGTATATTGTACATACATATAACATCGTAGGGCTTTCGGCTCTTGTCCTTGAGACTCCTTTCTTCTCTCTCGTTCGTATACACATTGTGCTATGCGCTCCCCTCGATACCTATAATAGTCATTGATTTTTCGGGACACCCTCTCTCACGTGCGGTGGTTAACTTTTCGAGATGACAATTTTTAACTATTGTCATCCAGTGTTGTTGGTAAGTAATCGAGGATCATCCATAAATACGGTTATTCATTCATTGGCGTTCAAGGATTTTTAGTCCCTTTTACAGATTAGCAATAACCGTGTGTAGTTAAGTAGATATCAAGACTTAAGCCCTCAACCACTGGGTTACGAGAGCATTTTTCTCTGCCATCCAATTAACACAGAGATCAAAAGTTAAGAAATAAAGTATCTTTAAACATTTTCACAAGTATCTATTGTTGTCCAAGTGTAACGCTGTCATTTAAGAATATCAATTTTTTTTGTTCATATGATGTGTACATTGCAAGTTGTTCGGTCGTTTTGTTGGGGCCGAAGGATCAAGAAACTTCTGTTATTATCCTGTCCCTTTTCTATACAGAATACACTTGAATACCGCGACGATAAAAGACCGGAATCGAAGCATACGGCCCCTCGGCACTTTACAAAAGATTTTGGAGGAAAACGACGGTACGGTAGACCGTATAATAAACTGCAGTTTTACAGTTTATAAATACGTTCGAACCTTTTATCATGCGTATGTATTATTACCGCCTCATGGCGAGCTATAATTATGGAGATATACCTACTTAAATTCTCATGTAGTTTTCACAAGTGAAGAATATGAAGATTTGTTTGGTATTAATTGTCCAGAAAGTGTTAATCGATACTTTACTTGCTCTTTCGAGGTAACCATAAATGTTGTACAAAATTATTTATTCAAAAGTTAACGTACACACAAATTTTAATTAGCAACGTAGGAAAGACTGTTTCTCGAGAAAGCCCAATTTTGATTCCCTGGACAAGATTTTAACGGGATATGAGAAGTAGCGATGGAAAAACAATCAAAGCTAATAAAGAAAAAAATTAAGTACTGCTCGTTGTGTTTGATGGTGTGTGCGAATAATCTATCAAGTCCACCATGTGGAACTCATTATTGATAAGACTAAAATTACAAAGACTAAGTACACATAAAAATCGAAAGACTGAAAAATAAAGGCCAAATCTTGGAAAAATGATACTGCAATATGATAAATAAAAAAATAATTCAACTCGAGATTTTATGACGGTAATGGCTATAGTTATTCCTCATGCACCCTACCCTCTAGTACTAAAGTCCTGAGGCATCTAGATTCTGCCGATTCTTTAGTGTCAAGTAATCGATAAAGATGGTACATGTATCAATGGATCAGTTTACTTATGCATTTCATAGACAGTTTTTCCCATAACTTAATCAAAATACCTTTTCACTTTAATGAACTGCGTCCATAAGCACACAACCACATGCATTATTCCATTGATTTCGTACACTCTACCTTTCTAATGTTTTATCAAACTAATTAACTCAAATGTCACCTTGTCTAATCGCATTAAATGTACGCTCGATAAACCGTACACTCGGAAAATATCGAGAAAAAAAGTTGTTCACGGCACCCCTTTTCTTTACCTGATTGCAGAGCGTCATCTGGCCCGAAATGGAACCACCTTTGGCCGAGCAGCATCAGCAGCTTGTCGCCGAAAATGTGCACTACGAGGATTCCAACTCAGTGGAAACGCTGCTGCGACAAGCAACTGCTACTATTGCGAAAAACAGCTATGAAGAGAACAACGAACCCAAAGCGCAGCAACCACAGCCGGAAAATCATCAGCAGGTCGCAGCAGAAGCAGCTACGAGCAATGTCTATTCATTCCTTGATGAGTTGGACCAGTTAGGGTCGAGTAACGTGAAAGAAGACGGTTGTGGTGCTGTGGCCACTGCTTGTAATCGCAATACTGTTTACGATAAGGGTGACGAGGCCAGTGTATGTGATATGGGCAGCTACGCGTCGAGAAGCTCCGCTGGCGACGAGGAGCTTAGGTATGTTTTTTTTTTTTTTTCTTGAATTTTGGATTGTTTTTTTTTTTTTTCATAGTACCTTATTTACTCTCATTTTTTTCTTCACCAATGGTTCATTAATTAAAATATAATCTTTTTATGCCAAAAAAAGGTTTAATCCTTTACGTATGTAAATATTCGGTTTTAAATTAATATTTAGGGCGAATCTTTAGGCTTTGTCGGAACGAATACGGTTAACAAAGTGATTTTGGTTTCAAGTTAAATCGTATTATGGCAAAATTTAAACGTTACGTACCACAAAACATTTTTTAAACTTTGAACCCTTTAAATTTACAACTTCTTTTCCGCACACATTCTTAAATAAATAAAAACTATTTCCTTTCCTTCGAGTTTCCTCACTTGGTGTTAACGTGGGGTACGATTGTAATTTAACTAATCTAAAAACTATTTGTATTTATATATTGTACAGTTTTTACACACCATGAAAAATCGCGTATTGATTATATTCTAATTTTGATATTCATTAAAGTAAAAGAAATTAATTTTCACTTTTATTTATTGATAATAAAATGTTAGAAATTTCTTAATTTGTAAAAAAAATCACATCCTTGCTCTTCCTCTGATGAAAAATTATTATTATTAAATTTTACACGAAAAAAATTGTCAAAAAACTTTATTGAAAATTAAACAAGTATACCCTTTTCTATTGAGCAATAAATTACAACACAATCACAAAAATTGTAATTTTATTCAAAATAAATGGTAGGTAATGCAAAAGATTTAATAACAAGAAATCAATTCAATTAATTTTTGTAAATAATGACAAGCTATTCGAGATTATAAGACAAGTAAAAATACAATAAACAATTTTTTTTCGATAAGGTCGCACTGTGAATCGTCAAAAACATTTATTCAATTATGTATGCTAAAAGCATTATCTTCTGAATAGTTTAAAAGTTTACAATAGAAACAATAAGAGTGAAAAAAAATCATGTCTATATTTTTTTTAAAAGTAGCGCACATTAATCCAAAAAGCTGAAGAGTGTAACAAGCTCAGACTTCACAATCATCTATTATAAATCTTATGATTCGAAGTATATAAGTATATAGTCAATAATACCAGGTATGGAAAGTAGTTGCTAAAATAAAAATGTCTAATAAACAAAACAGAAAATACAACAATACATCAATTCTATCACGGTAAACAGCATATATACCTTAAAGACAAAACGTACTGTTTTGATACGCTCCCTCCGTTGGATTAAACCGTGAAATTTTTTTCTTATATATTCTCCCTAACACTTTCTTTAAGAAACAACATTTCTGTCGTTTATTTGCTGAAAAACTCAAGATGTAGTGACCAATTTAGAAAAATACATGTGTTAACTGATTGACATCCTTATTATTTTATAGAATATTTTTATTTCCCGGTTACCGTTAAAAACTCACATGGTTTGTATTTTTTTTTATTTTGTCACATACCTTTCGTTTCATGATTATATTCCCTTCCATCTCATTTACTATTTCCACTTTATTATTGTCATCAATTCCTTTTGTTTTTCTTGTAGACGTTACTTTTATAAATTATCTTATTACTCCTCTACATAATCAAATACAACTTGAAAAACATCTGAATATCCTTATCGGGAATCCCTCCTGGACCCCAATTTTCCGTAATCTGACTCATTATCATTAAATCCCAATAATCTTTTGAAAGTCAAAGATAAATCCAAAAACTATCAAATCAGTTCTCATAAGGGCTATATGATGCGTAAAAATTTGTGAGGTGAACACATTGGGTGATAGTAATGGCAATTTATTATCTGAACAAATGTCATGAGATTATACGTTTGCAGAATCTTAAATTTATCGGGCTGATGGCATCTTAGAAATGCTGAGCTGTAATTTATTATGCCATGAGAGTTATGTGACCATTGGAATTTGAGGGTGTGAGGGGTGAAGGGTTATAGGGTCGTATCAAGAAAATGCGAGGTTTATAGGATTCTGGGTTAGGGCTAATTGGGTTTAAGATGTATTAAACATTAGGCATTGGGTTTGAATCAGAGTAGTTTTTGAAGTTGTCTCAAAAATCTGAATCGATGAGATAAAGACAATCATGAAAGATTCAGTTTCAGTAACACCAAAAATAGATTGAGCGTAGTCTGACCTCCCCGAGCTTGAAATTGCTCTTTGCTCGATACAAAAATCAAACTAATGCGATTTAAGAACAAAACTAAATTCTTTCATTTTCCGATCAATGATCCCACCATTAAAAACCAAAACAGCAAATTTCAAAAAAGGTCCTGCATAACGCCACATGATCATTGTACACAGTAGCAGCAACTATATGGACGTTCTATAAAAAATGACCCCTACGACTCTCTTTGACCCCACCAGGTTGGAGGCAAACTCCGAGAACGGCGGCAAGCCTGCGGAGGTCACCGCTTTGGAAACTAATGGTACCCCCACCGTCCCAGGTACCGAAACGACAAGTGACCACAGCCAAGCAGCCAGCACATCCTCGGCAAGGCGAAGGCCAACTTCGGACTTTCAGCCACTCGGCTCCGAAGTCTCCGCCGAGGTGGCCCAGCAATTGAAGAAGGACGTGCGAAGGCTGTCCCCGGTCCACGTGAGCCAACGCGAGCGCACCCTCGGCGAAATATCGCTATTCTCGTCGCCTCTCTTGGACGCTCTCGGCGAGACCGAACCCGAGTCCGCCCCGGTGGACAAGTGCGCGAGTGTCGCCGTCGTTGCCGAGGACATCGAAAAGAGTAGCGCCACGGACACAGTACTGCGGGAGCGGGTCTCTAGTGTCGCTGACGATTGCAGTGGTAATTTCAATAACGACATCAACAACAGTGACGGTTTTTCTAGTGGTGGTGTCGGTGGTGCAATTGCCGGGAGTGTTACCGGTGACGGTGATAACACCAGTGGCGACGCATCGTCGTCGAGTCGGCGGGAATTGGTCATACGATTGTCACGCGTCGACGGAAAATCACCCTCCAGCGTGGCTTCTCCAACGCCAGCGACGGCCAGCAGCGAGGAATTCGAGCTCTTGACCGGCGTGATGGCCGAGAACTCGGACCCAAGCGCACTGGCAGCCGTGCCCCTCGACAGCCCTCCAGCTTGCCCGTTTGGCACGAACCTCGTCCTCGAGCGGTGCAACGCGCCCGGCTACTCGGAGGAGCGCTCGCTCAGTCGGGCGTTCGACTCGGAGCCGTCCACGCCTCGCCCCGGTGCTATCCTCTCGCCCGACCCGACCACGATCGTCACGAAGCTCAGCATCGGCAACGAGATCGAGTTCTCGAGCTCCGTCGCGGGCACGTCGTCGGCAGGCCGCTCGGTGCATTGCGGGACGAGCTCGCCGTCGATTCCGCTGCCCGTTTTCAACGTGGAAGCCGAGGAGAACGATCTCGACGGCGGGTCCGACAGCTCGGACGTCCTCTCGACGATCGTGGCCGCGGAAGGCGTCGTTGTGGCCGCGCTCGCCGAGGACGGGCTGAGCCAGGCGATCATTTCGAGGCTGGAGCAGGACAGGCCGGTGCCCTTTACCGAGGACTCGGCCGAGAGCCTTACACTCGTCTCGAGGGACGAGGTGCGCTCGGACGGTAGTGACTCCGGCCTCGGCAACGAGATGGCTGCTGCAGCGCCCGAGAGCGACTCCGAGACGTCCTTTTTGGACAGGATACCTGACGACATACTCTTGGACAAGGACAAGAGTGAGTAGTTCTTTTGCTTGTCAGCGTTTTGACAATGTTAACTTTTCGATCGATCGGTATGCGCGTTTTTGGAGAAAGGCTCTAGTGAAAGTTTTCGAAAACTCCTCATTACTGCTTTCGCAATATCCGTGCGTCCGACACGGATGCTTGCGCCGTACGTCCAAAGAGATACATAAACTTCTCGCTCTCGAGAGCGGCGTTTAATTAAAATGGTTTTTCAACTAGAGCACCAACGGTTAGCATGTACTAATGCAGTGTGTCAACCTGCTCTAAATTGCATTTACGTGATATTTGAATGAGTCAGTTTGCTCTTTTTTTTTTGTGCAATTAATAGTTACAAAGAAATAATGAAAATTAATTGTACCAACAATAATCAAGTGTTTGAATCAAAGACGAACTTGATCTCATGCTTTTACGGCGTCAAACACGTAAGTTGGCTCGTGTACAGACACTACAGTGTTATCGATTGTTCGCACATCGATTACCAGCACGCGACGGTTGTCTATCTTTTGCTCTTAATCTTTTTCTTTCTGTTTCTGTCTCTTTTTTTCATTCAATTTGCTGAGTATTGTCTTATCGCTCGCGAAAATTGTGCGAAAAACAAGGATAAATATGAATCACAATAAATCAAGCGTTGAATTAACAATAGCTTTCTTGCTGACTAGACTATTTTAATCGAATGACGTGAATCACAATGGTGGAAGATTCTTAAGCTTTCTCTAAAGCTCTTTTTTGAAATTTATAAGCTGGACACACGCACATGGAAATATATATTTTCAAAAATCAAGGGATATTAGAGCGCGTCAACGTTCGGGAGTATGGGTGTGAATGACGTCATTTCCCATACAAAATTAATACGCCTGTTGACGTCACAAGTATCTTTAACGCGCTCTATACTTATTCCAAAATTTTTATTTATGTGTAAAAAAAAGTGCCCAACGTTGATCAAAAATTTACCCAACAAACCCAATAGATGTTGTTTATTTTATTTTATTTTTCAAAACTATTTTCCCTCAATGAAAATATTTAATGAAAAACAACGCAAAACACACTTGATCCTTTGTCAATCTTAGATTTTGCGTCGGACGTGCCGAAGGCGCCGACACTACCAGAAAAGGCGCCATCGAAGAGCAGCCTAAAACGTCGACTGACAACGGACTGCCTGGAAGATAATGATGAGCCATCATTGAAAAGGCCGAACCTCGACGAGTCGGGCAATGTCAAAAATAAACGTAACATACAATTCGACGCGGTCACGGTCTACTATTTCCCCAGGACTCAAGGCTTCACCTGCGTGCCTTCACAGGTATTATATTAATACGCGTATATATGTATGTGTCTCAATGAGTTTTGTTACTTCTTTTTTTATCTGTTATTTAAAAAAATGTTTTTTCGTAATCATGTGTTACGAATAGTCGTTAAAACACGATCAACAGTGTTGTCAGAGATTGTAGAAGTTGTACAAATGCCGATACCGCACGTGTATAGTCAGTCGTTGGCATCGATATGCGATACCTGTCTTTATTTATTTATTTTTTTTAAACTGACGTCACTCACGTTTTTCTATACTGATAAAGATGATGGTTTCGCCCACAAGGCATGTTTTTCAAGAGTTTTAATTTATTTCTGGCTCATCCAAATACCAATGAGTCATATTGTATTCGCGTGATCAACGATAGCCCGAGAAACCCTGCTCTAGATATCCACCCCCAAGCAACTCTGGAATTTTTAGAAACAAAAAAAAAAATATATTCTCAGGGTGGTAGCACACTGGGCATGACGGCAACACACTCGCACGCGGAGCGCTTCTCGCTTACGGAGCACGCGGTGGAGCAGCGCCGGCTGCACCGCGCTCGGCTGGCCCAGTTGCGCCAGGAGCGCGCGGCCACGCTCATCGCGAACTCAACGGAGTTCGGTGCCTCGAGCTCGGAGGACCCGAGCGACGACACGGACGAGGAGCCCTGCGACTCCTCCGAGGAGCTTGACATCGATAGCTACTACTTCCTGCAGCCCGTGCCTGCCTGGCAGAGGAGGGCCCTGCTCAGGTCGGCCGGGGTACGTAGGATAGATACCAACGAGAAGGAGGAGTGCAAGGACATCAGGGCCAGCAGGGAGCATTGCGGCTGCGCTTGCAAGGGCTACTGCGATCCCGAGAGCTGTCCCTGCAGTCGAGCCAACGTCAAGTGCCAGGTGGGCGATTCTTTTACTGCATTAACATCTTTTTGGAGGGAGACTTTTTTTTTTGCGCTGACTGCATAAATTTTAAATAAATTTTATATTATCAACAAATTTGATATTTATCAACAAATTATTTATGTGCGTACGGTAATCGTACCTTCAAATTATCATTAAACTATACAACATGTTCTATTGCAATCTTGCCGTCTGCCATTTTCGTTGAAATTATTGTGCAATGGTTTTAGTAAATTTCGTAGTCTTTATAATCATACGATAAGTTTTATTCACGTGATGTAAGAAATTTGTCAAATAAATTCACAATTTCAAATGAACCAACAGGTCGACCGAACAGGTTTTCCGTGCGGTTGTTCGCGGGACGGTTGCGCCAACAGTTCGGGCCGAATCGAGTTTAATCCTGTCCGCGTGCGTACGCACTTCATCCACACACTGATGCGGCTCGAGCTCGAAAAAAAGCCCCATCATCGAGACGAGGAGCACCAGCAGCACCAGCAAGAGAGCCAGCATCACCAAAACAGTCAACAGCAGAACGGCCGGCTGGGGGCACCGATGCCCGATCCGAGCGCCGATTGCCTTGGTTCTGGTTTTACTGGCCTACACTACGACAGCCAGGACGGTACAACGCGGCCCGAGAGTCTTGATCTTTACACCATCAGAGACGACTGCTATCCGAGCGACGACTGCCTCGGGGAGTCCAGCCAGCAGCAACGCAAGCTCCACAACGAATTCGCTCAGAGTTTTCAGCACTACGGGCCACAAAACTCGGGACTTACGTTTCAGCAGAACCCTTACGCTGATTACCAAGGATATCAGAGTCTGCCTTCCACGTCTAGGTGAGTTGGTTTTCCGAAAGTTGCCAGTTGTTACTTTATTTTTTATCTCCAAATTTTTCGCCGTACTGGGAATAATAGTTGCTCACTTGATTGATTTGTGAAAAATAGTTCAAGTCTCACTAGTCGAATAGTTATACCAACTATTTATTCAATACATTAACTCTCATTTGTTTTTTGATTCACGCTTATTTTTTTTTGCAATAATGCTCAAACATTTTTCTTTGAATTCAACGTGCCATGCAATTAGAAAGCTCGCTGATGCAGAGCTCCAAAAATTTATGAATATACAAACTACTGTATGTATTTTTTTAAATCTGATGGGTTACATTTTCATAGGTAAAATCAATTATTGTTTCCTCACTCGAAATTCTAAAACTTTACTCCGGTAATGTACGAGAATTAACTCAGTAGGAACCTCATTTTCAGACAAATTCCTATCAGAACCCAAAAAATTTACTCATTTATTATGCGATTTCTAGAAAAAGGACATCTAGAATTAGAGGATAAAAAAATCTTTAAAGACTCTATAGAAAACTTGATAGTCGTGGTATTAGTAAACGCCCCGAGCTAAAATCAAACACTTGGTGCGCTCTGACACGAGAATTTAGACTTCACATGTATAGCGCTAAAAAAGTTGTTTTTTGTGACTTTAGCAATTTTTTTCCACTTGCAATATTCCTTCATGCTACAGCTATAAATAATCTTGTTCTTGACATTGCCAATTAATTTTATGAATGAATTTTAATACTTACCGCTCAAAAATATTTTGTCGTTCCTCTTCACTTTTTTCAAAAAAAAAAAAAAACCTTATTCCTCACACCTCTCCATCGTCCAAGCATCCGTTCGTAAAGTTCTACTGGTGATCCCCGTTCTCTGTAACGAAAGAACGCCCAGCCATTACGTCTTCTGTCTTGCAGGTCCCCCTTTCAGTCGCAGTTCCAGAACCCGAGCTTCTCTCACTACGGCTCGTACGTGCAGGACGCGGGTGCCAGCTCTAATTCCACCTGCCATCAGACCGCCCACTCGCTCATCCAGCAGCACAGCATGTACGACGCGCCGTTCGCCCAGGACGAGATGACTGGCTCTCAGTACACGAACTTGACGAATTCGCTGCAATCATCGATCAACTCCATGAACAAGCTCGAGCCCTTCGCCGAGATGCTGTCCGCCGCGAGGTACTCGTACTACGGGGACATGGTTGAGCATCAGCAGCAGCAGCAGCAACAGCAGCAGGTCAATCATCATCACCATCATCAGCAGGAGCATCAGCACCACCTACACCATCACCCTCACCACCATCAAAGTATTTACGGGCAAACGAACGGTACTGCCAAAACCGACGTGGACAAGGACGTGCTAAGTGGTGCCACGGGGCAGTCCGAGCAGCTTAACGATGACGATGACAATTGCGATGAGAATTTCGGCGAAATCATCAAGAAGTCAATGGTCGAGACTGTGTCTGCCTAAGGTGGAGTAACGCGGGATACAAAGGCCGAGGAATCTTGGGACTAAGGAGAGAGCAGTAGCTTTTCGGGGCTGGGCTCTTTCTTTTTTTCTTTTTTTTTTTTTTTTCTTGGGACTACTTGCGTTTATATTCGCTTTCCGATTTTCAGTGCAATCATGGAAACACACACTGCCTCGAAGATAACACCGTTATCTGCACACGTTACTTCGTTCCTTATTTAGGAGAATTTAGGATAAGATGAATTACGATGAAAACGTGGGTGCTACTTTCGAAAAGCAGGGACTTAGTTTTGTATATTTTATCTTTTTTCTTATTGACATAAGAACATAGTGTACGTTTTAGCCTTTTTTTTTTCTTAAGATTGCACAACTTTGTGCACGAAATGTAATCAATTGAGGAGTATTTTCTTTTTTTTTTTACATGTATATACATATACATTTAACCATTGTACATATGATTTAGTTGCAAATACATATTAATATTAATTTGTTCCTTGTGCAATCCATACAATTAAAGTTAACTGTCGCAATGACTCTCCTTAGATTCAAGAATCCAAGTTGTGCTCAAAAGAACCATAATTTGTAATTGTGATCCGTCGATATAGGAGAAACGAGGCGTAGAGTACTATCAGAATTACAGATCGATTTTTTTTAAGTCTGTCGATCATCGACCGATGGAATTTTCAGGTGTATAGGTGAAGCGTTAAAGAAAATAGAAAAAAAAAAAAAAAACTGCGAGAGTATTATGTATCGAGCGCGGTAGCCTAGAGATCTTGAAACATTACCTTTTGGATGCATTGATTTTATGTAATGGTACTTATACAAATGTGTAATAAAAATTGTGAATACTGATGCTGAATATTAAATCAAAGGTAATGAAAAAAAATTGTTGATACTTTGGAGATAAAGTAAGATAATAAGCGTAGGTGATTCGAAATGCAAGCAAAAGAAGTTGTTCAAGATTTTTAGGAGTCGCAATGGGTTCATCTGCCTGGGATGGATGTTGTTTGCGCCGATTATGGTATTGATAAATACTATATATAGCTGAATGTCGTTCAAAGCGCAATGACGAAAAAGCCATTTCAGAATGTTTTTCGTACAAAAGGGCTAATTTTCCAAAGGGGAGAAACATTTCGAAATAGCGAGCAACTCTAGTTCGCGAAGCGACAAGCGATTGTCAATAATAATAAATTTATTATATATACCTTGAATAATGCTAAACAAGAGATATTCAACGAGGTTGTGACCAAAAACATTATGGGATCAGCTTAAAATGCGCAATTTATACCTTAAAAATGTTTGAAAATGCGAAAATTACAGAAATCCGACGCAAACCAGCAAATCAGTGACTTAATTGAAAACCAGTTTGTTAATCCAATTGTAAATTAATTAAAAATTTTTTTTTTTTCATTTTCTGTTGCATTTTTTTTTAAAAATTGTAAGCAGTTTTATTTTTTTTTTGTTGATTAAAAAATTCGACAAGTATTTATATACTTGTCAAGAGATAAACACTCAAATAAAAGGCTTCCAAAATCCATTGGTTCTAATTAGGTTTATTTCTTTAATTGGTAAAATATTTTTTTTGTTTGATGAGTATATTACAGAATTTTAAAAAAATTAGAGGACCATAGAGACGAAAAGTTTTATTGACTTTTCGTATTATGATTTAACAAAAAACATAAACTTGTGACAAAAAGTTTTTAACTAGGCGTTCCGTACGCTACGGCGCAACAACATTACGTAATAACCAAAATAAATAAAAATAATAAGAATAATAATAGTAAAAATAATAATAAATATAAAGTCTAATCGAAAGATTGATTGGTTGCCTTGCTTTGTTTATTTCGAGCACGCCCTTGCTAGTAGTGAGACAAAAAAAAAGTTTTTTGAACGATACCTATTTAGCATCCCGGGTCGTCGATCGCAAAAAAAATAAAAAAATCCTTGATTAATCCAAGTAAATTAATGATATAAGATAAAATAATGATATGATAGTGTTATATTTATACATACGATATTATATATGAATATATATTATATATATTTAACAATGGACGTGTCAGTTCCCGTCGTGTTTTTTCCGACGAAACACTTTCGTTGTACCCTTATATATATTTTTTTCACTTTATCTTGTAAACAAGATAAACCTGCGATAAAGTTAATTTATTCCATTGGTCATGGAATATGTAAAAAAAAAAACAATAATAATGTCGAAGGTGTTCGACGTTCAAAGCGATATAAATAGTATGGTTTTGTTCGATTACGTCGAAAAAAGGTATGTGAAAGAGAGGAAACGATTCCGATCGATTTTTCTGCGTTGATGTGCGTTGATTATTGTGCGATCCGAGGGATGTGACACCTCCATACGGCATACAAATATAAAATAAAACAAACATATACACTAAACGTATGTAAGTAATTTTTAGATTATTTGAGTAAAAAAAGGCATACATAGTTTATAGTGTTTTATTAAATGTTGTGAAAAAGTGTGACCTGTTTTTTTGTGCATTCCACCTATACAGACTTTCCTTAGGCATTTCCTTATTTTCCTCTAAAAAATTTTACTATATAAATCTCAATTATATGTTTTTCAATTTTTATTTAAAAAGTGATACGAACTTAAAATACAATTTAACTGTATATCCAAGCACTTTTAGTATTAGAAAATTGAAATGATTTTTCTTTTAAGACAATTATTTATTAAATATTCAATCTTTAAATTAGTAAAAAAAAGTTAAATTTTTCTATCATCCCATAAATAATATCAACAGTTCAAATAAATACTAAAATAATTTATAACAATTTTTAAGGTATTCCTGTGTAAAAGTTATATCTCGTGGTAAGTATTAAAATATAATGAAATCAGATCAATAAAAATAAATTAGCAACCGTACGTAACAATGGGCACTAGTCCATACATTTGTTAAAATTTAATTTGTGAATTGGAGTGAAATTATTACGAATGGGTTCAGTCCCCATAAAGATTGTCCAGCTAGCACAGTTCAGTTTGGTAAGAATGAGTCTCGTAACAGGTTGGAACTAATTTTGAGGCATGGATATATCTTAGTTGTAGAAGAATAATAATAGAAATTCAATTACGATGGTTGCCATTCAATATGTAAAATAATATTAATAGATGACAGTTCTATATTTTGGTAATGATTATTTCTATATTGATCCAATAGTTTACTTAATTTATACTTTTTTGAACGGTAAACGATTCCACAAATCTACGAATATCTTCAAAATTAAAACTTTAATAATATTCCCAGAATGATAAAACATTTATAAAAATGGTAAATAAATATACTTTAAATAAAAATTTCTCTTTGTCATACTGTTCCCAATCTATGGTTTTTTTTGAGTCAGAAGTTACAAAAAACAGTAGAACTTAATTTAACCATTATTTAATTATTGCACTAAGAGTTTTCAAACTATGTATATGTATATATTATATTCCGAATTATTAGTGTTCACAAATTTTAAAATGTCAATGATTCTTCTTTCACTTAGTATTCTAAGTTGGCGTATACAATGAAGCACAAATGCAAAATGAAAGCTCCGAGTATTTGCAAATAAGTGTAAGTTCGAAAAATTTGCAAAGAAAACCAATTTGAAGTTGGTCATAGCTGCGTTAAAAAAAATTGTTCCCGCCCGGGTTCGAACCGGGGACCTTGTGCGTGTGAAGCACACGTGATAACCACTACACTACGAGAACGCTGGCTAGCAGGTCGTGAATCAACGTCTAGGTTTTCGTGTGATGACTTGATTTACTTTAACTGTGAATATTCGTGGATAAATTCTTTTGCATCCAGATTGTGAATATGGATAATTGTTCATCTTTTTTTTAACAATTTTCATTTTGATGATACTTATTTCTAAGACTTTTAGCATTAAGCGTTAACTTTCGATACAGTGTATTTTACATTTTTGAATGATTTAAAAAATTAATTTTTATCACATAACATAAGCGTTAGTGCAGTATGTTATCGCCGATGCATGCAACAAGTGATTTTTCATTTGGAACAGCAATACTAATTTATTCAAAAACTTATAAGGCACGTTTGTTTCTTTTACGTCGTAAAATGATTTTCTTTTGAGGTCAATTGAAATGTATGAATCGCATAGAGAAATTAAATTGTAAGAACTTTAAAATCCATAAAAATTTCAGAAGGTACCATGGTTGATTACAAGGCTAAACAGTACTAGATTAGCATCAGTTCTGTATTAAAAAAAAAAAAAAAAAAACTGCGAGAGTATTATGTATCGAGCGCGGTAGCCTAGAGATCTTGAAACATTACCTTTTGGATGCATTGATTTTATGTAATGGTACTTATACAAATGTGTAATAAAAATTGTGAATACTGATGCTGAATATTAAATCAAAGGTAATGAAAAAAAATTGTTGATACTTTGGAGATAAAGTAAGATAATAAGCGTAGGTGATTCGAAATGCAAGCAAAAGAAGTTGTTCAAGATTTTTAGGAGTCGCAATGGGTTCATCTGCCTGGGATGGATGTTGTTTGCGCCGATTATGGTATTGATAAATACTATATATAGCTGAATGTCGTTCAAAGCGCAATGACGAAAAAGCCATTTCAGAATGTTTTTCGTACAAAAGGGCTAATTTTCCANATCCATAAATTTATTAATAATTCTAGTGGGACGAGTTTTATATGAAGCTTGAAATTTCTTTTACACTAAAAAATAGACAATTTGAAAATGACTACAGGTTTTGTACTGGTATAAACATAAGGCATTTCTGTATGTGTAGATCATACGACATTGTAGATTCATTTAAGAGATTTCATAATCATCATCCAGTGCCATTCTTCTACATTTTGCTTTTATTTTTATTTTTCGGCACCGGTTTATCATCGATTATTTTGCATCATTCTAATAAGAAACAATCCACAATAATTATACATAGTTAAGGGCGACTCTTCACATTCAGATGAACTCTATTAAGTGAAAGCTGAGGTGAAAGCTACTTACAGTAGTATTTTCATTCTTGAACATCCACAGTTTTTCTAGATTATTAATTATAGATTATCAAATAGATAAACGTAAAAAAAATAAACTATTTGAAAACAAATTATTTTTGTAGTTTAAAAAGTTCCCGAAGTTCCAATTTTCACCGAAAAAATCGTTTTCATTTCTCGAATGCAAACTATAATACTCCCGTAGTGTTGGCGCCTTAGAAATGATCTCGGCGGTGGTACTTAGCATTCGCTTACGGCTTATATTATAATATGTTGCCATCGGCGCAGCTCAAAGTCCAACGCGAACATGAAAGCCAAAGCGTCAGATGTCGCGTCGATCATCGAAAGCTCACCTTCGATGTAACTTAAATCCGCAAACCTGTTTGCCGTCCACTTACACCGGCCCCAATATATACCCATTGAAATAACAAACGAACAAACGCAGCTCGTACATTATCCACAGAAATGGTACGAAAGCAAGGGAAAAAAGAAAGGGAAAGAAACGGAGGGCGAGAGATAGATAAGAATACAAAAGCCCCATACAAATTCAGTTCCCAAAATTCCTCCACACCGTCCACGTACACACTAGTTCTTGACTCCTCTATCACGTCACCCGGGTGCTGTACATATAATTATGTGTATGTGTGCGCTGCTCTGATGCCGATCCCCTCCTTCTATATATGTACTATTTCGTACCTGCGTGGTGCTATGCATCAGAGAGAAAGAGAACGGCGTCTCTCGAAGGAGGTATAGAGTAGAGGAAGCGCAGAGGAGGAGGGTCGGGACGGCAGCCAGCCAGGCAAACCAAAGGTTCAGTCGTCGTAACCGCGCGTCGAGCGCTCGGTTGTATACGTGTAGTGGGTGCAAATGTACAAAATACATTTACACCGCGAGCGAACGTAACTTTCGACGAGTTTTATCTCTGCATTTTTGTTAATTTTGACACATTTTTACAGTACATACACAGTACATACACGTTCGATATATTTTATATAAAAGACGATCAATCGCTGCGAATCCTCGTGTCCTTTTTTTTTTTTCAAATAAAAAATCCAGGGCCTGTTGGTAAATACCTTCCCAGCAGGCTTAGCTCTGAAACGGCAAATCGGAGCAGCTCGAGAGAAATAGACCGCCTCTCCCGCAGGTACACACAGGTACATGTAGAGTGTGTGCGTGAGTAGTTAGCGTGTGTACACATTTTCCATGTAATAAGTATATGGGAGAATTTTACACCCACTGTTGGTTGCTGTTGCATCTAACCATGCGTACACTGTGATGTGTGTAAAATAACAAGCATGTGATGTCGCGCGAAGCGACAGGTGTTTGGCTAAAAGACGCGCTGTTCCTGCATGGTACTGCAGGTCCAAGTCAACGATGATGGCAATAAGGGTATCGATGTTGATGACGATACTGGAGTAGGTGTGTGAAGGAGCGGAAAAAGTCGAGGAGGAGCCAGTGGATCAGGAATGACGCGGGTACGGGATGAGGAGGACGGGGACGACTACGGAGCGACAGCCGAGCTATTTTCACGACTAAGCCGGGCCACCATCATCACCAGCACCACGACGCGGAAGTCTCACCCCGCCGGCCGTCCTTCTCTGGGATATGAGCGCTGACAATGGGGACGAATCCTTGGTAATTACCGTCTTTCTCTCCCTTCCTCTTTGCGCTCGATGCTTCGGTCTGGAAATCGACAGTGCCGTTGATTTTTTTTTTTTTTTTTTCGGCACTAGCCACTTCTCTTTTCCCTTCGGCACGTAACACTGCGAGCGAGAGGTGTATTGTAACGCGCACCTCTCACTCTGATGGCATTGGGTGCGCATATGCTATACATTCTTCACCTCGAGCTGATACGTACAGTGCATTATGTGCCATTTATATACAGGTATTCAGCCTATAAAAATAAAGCATTGTAACGAAGGATTCGGTTGTCGCTGGTTTTTGGGTGCACTGTGCATTCATAGGCTTTACTTACCTATTTTTGGGGTACTAGAAGAAAAAATGTAGTAGCCAAAGACTCGCAAAGTCTTGAAATCTTTCGAAAGTGCCTGTGAGCTACAGCAATAGCTTGGGCAACGGGTCTGGGAGGTTGTTGAGTCGTTGCTATTACACACCGCACTGTCTCCGTCTTTATTATTTCTTACTATTATTGTTTGTCGTCTCGTCACGCGGACAAGATGATGATAGGATTTTTATGTAATCCCGGGACCATCTAGGTATATTATATAGCTTGATAATTGTGTGCGGTGACTTTTTCGTCTCAATGGTTGCGAACGCGTTGTGCACGGAGAAACTCTGGAAGGCTCTTTTTTTATTTCCATCGTCAAGTTTTATGTGACTTACTTTTTTTATTTTTTTTATTTTTCATACAGCAGGAGTGCATGACTTTGATCCAACTTTATGCTGGATATGTCGTTTACTCTT